GCGGCGGGCCGACATTCCTGTACGGTTGTCGGCTACCGTCCCTCGGCTACGTGATATGGGTGTGCGTCGATGTGTCTTTTGAGGTTGGACGACGTAAATGGCGCGAGCTACCCCTGTAGATGCATGGAAGTACGGCAAGCTTCGTATAAGTGGAAGCTTGGGGCCCCGCGTTGTTGCTTGGTGTCTCTTATCGTTGCGCCTTCGCATTCACTTTGCTTGCGCCTAACGCCGTCGCACATTGTATATTACAAGAACAGGCTCACCAAGTCGCCCGTCGCGCGCTGATACAGCGATCATGGCGAGAATTACTGACGACCAAAAACCTTCGATTGAGCAAATCTCCGATGACAAGATTGCGCCCACGACACTTGAAGCTGGAAATGAGCCCGTGGATGGACATCGCAAGCTTGTTGCGCCGCCGCTAGTCGCCGCTATGAGCGCCGAGGAAAGATTGGAGGCGGAAAAGAAGATGAGGAGGAAGATCGATACGAGGTTGTTGCCGATGATTATCCTGATGTATATTATGAGTATGCCTTGACAGCTGAGACTATGTGAAGACAGTGCTGATAAAACTTAGATTACCTCGACAGGAATAACATCGCTGCCGTTCGCCTAGCAGGTCTTCAAGATGAGCTGGAGCTCACGAGCGTGCAGTACCAAGTGCGTATTGATGAATCACTTAAAGATAGCACTCCACTGATTCCGATAGACTACCGTTTCCATCCTCTTCGTCGGCTATATTCTCATGTAGGGAATTCCCCGTTACAAATTGCATACAAGACAAACACTGACTGTAAACACTTACATCAGGCAAATTCCTTCGAATTTATTCCTCAATAAGACCGGCAAACCGGCCATATACCTGCCTACATGCATGATCGTCTGGGGTATCATATCTGGTGCTACCGCCGCATGCCAGAACTTCGCTGGACTTGTGGTGTGCCGTTTCTTCCTCGGGTTCATCGAAGCCGCATATTTCCCAGGGTGCTTGTTTTACCTTAGCGCCTGGTATACAAGGAAAGAGTTGGGTTTGAGGACGGCAGTGCTATACTCTGGGAGTCTGATATCGGGAGCGTTTGGTGGTTTAATCACTGCGGGGATCACGAGTAATATGGACGGTACGCAAGGTCTACGAGCTTGGCGCTGGGTATTTATAATTGAAGTAAGTGTCACAAGCGATGTGAGTACATACGTCAAGTGCTGACTCTGTAGGGTGTCATCACCGTTGCGATCGCTTTTGGAGCCTTTTGGGTTCTGCCTAACTTCCCTCGAACTACTTCCTGGCTCACGGAAGAAGAGCGCCAACTTGCCGTGTACCGACTTCAGGAAGATGTTGGAGAAGATGATTGGGTGTCCGCAGAGTCACAGACCTTCTTCCACGGCCTAAAGCTCGCATTGCTCGATATTAAGACTTGGGTGCTCACCATTCTTCTTCTCGCGATTGTGTCTTCAGCGAGTGTTACCAACTTCTTCCCAACAGTGGTCAAAACCCTTGGATACCCAAACATCGAGACGCTGTTGTTGACAGCGCCACCTTATGTCCTGGCAGTTATCACGACCTACCTCAACGCCTGGCATGCCGATCGCACTGGCGAACGATTCTTCCACATTGTTCTCCCACTCTGCGTGGGTGTAGCAGCCTTTATCCTGGCTGCAGCTACAACAGCTACCGCACCCCGTTACGTCGCCATGATGCTGATGGTCCCTGGTGTCTATACTGGCTACGTTGTCGCTTTGGCCTGGATTTCCAATTCTTTGCCCCGTCCGCCAGCAAAGAGAGCGGCCGCACTAGCTTTCATAAACGCGATCAGTAATACTAGTTCGATTTATGCAAGTTATATGTACCCGCAGCCGAAGAGTGGACAGCCGGACTTGACAATACCACTCAGTGTGGATTGCGCAACTGCAGCACTGGCCATCATTATGACGGTCATCATGCGGATCATCCTGGGAAGGCTGAACAAGAAACTTGCACGGGGAGAACACGTTGAAGGCGCGATCAACGCTGTCCCAGGAATTGGTGCGGAGCGGGGTTTTAGGTTCTTGGTCTAGGGACTTGAAATTTGTAGGTCGTATGATAGACAAATTGAAAGAGGCGATGAGCAGTGGTACAATCAATTGACCCCCTCCCTGTTTTACTTCTTTGCCACCCCCTTCTCTGGGCATCTCCCTATATGACGACACATACAGTATGCTGAGACGACGAGTTGCCTCTTCGCGTTTCTGTTTTTATTTATCTTAATCAGAACTACTCGTGTTACTTTTGTGAAGCTCGAGGAGTGGCTGGATGCTGACTTGGCGAGACTAGAAGCTTCCAAGGTTATACAGCGTCATCGGCCCGTACAAGGCTTAGCTCCCATCGCGAACTTGGGCCAGCGCGTCGCGACTCACCAACTTTTATCCGCTTGCACATCAGGCCCCGGCAGCACATCATCTATTAAGGATTCAAGTGCACACTCGTGCGACCCATTACTATCGGCCCGCTTTACTGAAGTCACTAAATACACTCTCACTGTCGACTGACTGTAGATTGAGCGCCTTGCGATAGCTAGCGTCACACCACTGGAGCGCCCTGTGCACATACGATGCACCTTCACGCCGTCGAACGAACAACGCCGATTACTCAACTCGGTCCTTGATCATTGTCGCGTTGCACCGTCCATACCATCGACTATTCCGTTCTTTGGACACATCGACAGTATTCATAGCCGCCACCACTCAAGGCAACCACGCGTAGTCAGCTGACGCCACCCGCACATCACCCGCAATTCCCATTGCGAACTTGATCCACAACCTCAACATGGATTTCTCGAACAGTGCGTTTCGGACTATGCCAACGTCCACAGTCTCCGACGATACCATGTCTCACGCCAACCTCGTCATGGCGTGTAGATGGGGCTGGACTAGCACTCCCGACGAAGGTACCAACTCACCTTTCGCATCTTCGTCGACATCGCAGCAAATACCTGTTTCCTCATTTAACAACATTCGTTCCAAGCGATTCGCGCCATGTCAAGGTCGTCTGTACCATCAGCTTCTCTGTTCACATCGCATTCGTACAGACCTAGTCGAGGATTGCGGCGCAAACTGCATCGAACCGTATGGTAATACAGTGGATGCACCCTTCGTTTGCAACGAATGCATTCAAGCAGAAGCAGCAAAGATCTGGGAAGAGCGACAGACGCAACACAACGCGACTTATCCACCTATGGAGCAGATGAGTAAGGAGCAGTATGAGCAGTGGTACGCTGAGCACCGACAGCTCGAAGCAGAATTTTCGCGTGACCAGCGCGTGTATGAGCTGGAGCTCAAATCTAAGACTCGGCCGAGTAATATCTGTTCTGCATTAGAAGCTAGCAAAGAAGAGATGGAGTTCGCAACTGAGCTCGACTCTCTGTCACTTTCGCTGATGGCGTCCAATAACTCGAACGTCGAGCAAGCGTCGTACCAGCCCCAAGGACGTACGCGTACGAGCTTAGCGACAGACCCTGAGGAACAACTTCATTGGGACCTGAACACGCTTGCTTTAGACCGAGGCGCTTGTGGTATCGAATACTCCGGATCGCAGCCGAACAATGGCGTGTCGCCAGGACGGCAACTGGACCCGGAGGAGCTATGGAGCAAGCCGCGGAACTAATGCTGTCAGTGCTTGTTACTTGAGCGTTAGTTGGGTGCATGCACTATGTCTTGTTTGTTAGCGATTGCATGAATCTGGCGTATGGTAACTTTGCTTGTATGGAAGCGTTTGTAGAAAACTTTTGTCTAAGAAATATCCATGTCTATCACCTTGTCTATACCGTCTCTTCAAGCCGCCGATAACAGACCAAAATGTGATCTTCTTCCACTGCCGAACATCCCACTTGAGCAGCATGTAGCGAACACATTACTAACAATAAATTGTGAAAAGCCCACTTATCATGCACTTGGGGAGCAATTGCATGAAGTTTTCAGTCTTGCGTGGGGCCTCCTGATGGGTCAAAGTCGGAGAGGACTGTAGGCATTGGCGCGCCATACTTCGATTGCTAAGCGACCTCGGCACACATTCCATGAGCTTGTCGCAAGTGGTGCAAAAAAGTGCAAAAAAGGAAGACTTGTCAAAGGACAGAACTCGAAGTCCAAGGGGCTCTGGAGATTTTGTTAGGGATAGAAACTTTAATTTGGAGGTATGAATGAAGCTTACCGAACCCTCAACCTTTGGTGACATCAGGCACAAGCCGAAAACCAACGCGCTACCATTGCGCCAAGACTCCGATAGGAGATTTGATGAAAAACTTTGAATCGACAAAATATATATTGTACATCGCATCGTGAGTAAGAGACGAGTGGTAGATGGTGGTACCCATAATTCTGTTGAATGCTTTCGGGAGTGCATACCCCGCACGAGCTAAAGCACCTACTCCGATTAAATGGACATCCAGTCTCATTCCATCCATTCTCGGGTCGTCTTGCCTTCATTTCGGCAGCTAAGCAATCACAAGATGCTGGCTTTGGTCTATATCCTTTGACAAATCTTATTCTTCTTTTTTTGCTTCTGTTTCTGTCTACATCTATCTTTACTGTTACGATGTCTTGTGGGCTTGTCCCATGTCAAGTTTCTGGTTAATGACGTAGCACTCACTCGTTGCGATCACGGCCTTCCTATCCGCTCCGCACCTTAAAATGCGCGCTCAACTATCAATCAGATATCACAGAAGTCTCTCGTCTATTTTAGGTGTATGGAAATGTCCATGGTGTGATTATATTGCTTCAACTGTCTCCGAAGCTATGGGTCTCCTGACATTGCAGCGCGAGGAGGTATCTAGCAGTTGGCTGCGCATCAGGCACTCACGCAATATATTAGCTTGCAGACTATGGGCGCACTATATTGTCGCTACTTTGATATGTTCAAGCAGCGTATCCTCACTCAATATGGTGAAAGCAACAGTGTCTTGTGCGACTTTGAAGATCATCCCAGGCACCCCATGCCGACATCAACAAACCATGATTAGGCACTCCCTTCATCAGCATGCAGCAGATGCCTCTACTTCTTCCTCAAACTCCCCATCTACAGCCTTGCAACTCCTTATTTTCTCCATCTCCACCTTCCGTCTGTAACTCTCCTTCACCAATTTCTCGAAACTCTTGTGACCCAGGAAAACAGTACACCAGGTATGAACCCCCTTCATCCACTCCTTCCCTACCAATTTTCCATGATCGCAATCTTCCTTAAGCTCACACACAAAGATCTCTATGTTGCACCCACCTTCCTTGGCTTTTTTCTTGCAGCGCTTTACAAACTCTTGATATTCGTCACGGAGGGTGGACTCGTAGCATGTAGGACAGAGAAAGGAGGGTTCGGCGGTGGTGGAAAAGTTAACAGCAGCGCAGTTAGGGGCACATTTTGAGGAGGTTGTTGGTTGTAGAAAGGAAGCGTGGATGGTGTGGGCGCAGGTTAGTTTGTGGACTGGAGTCCCAGAACATTGCATGATGTGTTTCGTGATGAAATGAGGAGCCATTATGTCGTTGACGTTGGCCGTAGGTAGTCAGGATAATTGCTTTACCGTGCGATAGGTTATGTGCGGTGACAGATCGTTGGAGAGCATTGGATTGGTTAAATCCCCGCAGGTACTGGCTGATCAATTGCATAGTGAGTTTTGCGCAAGCCGCGGTCAAAGCGTACATACAAAGCGACGATGCAAACATAAACTAATAGTCCAGCTCTGCGAAAGATCCATTGTCGAGTTTCACAATGCCTACATCGGAGGCGGATTCAAATCAAGACCCTCGACGCTAAGCTTGAAGCTGTCCATGCGCGAATAGCTTCCTGCAACGTCCATGTCGAGTCTGCCACGCTCACAATCTTCGAAGTCGACTTCTGCAACGAGCAGCTCATCTTCTTCCTCCCACAGCGGTCCAGCAAGCACGTCGCCTAGCGGTGATACAATCATAGAGCCGCCGCGAGAAACAAACTCTTCTCCGTCTGTGGACGATGCTTGGGGTTGCGCAAAGGGCTGCTGCTTGGGACTAAGTGGATCATCTGTAACCGATGAAGAGTCGATCGCTGAAGAGTCAACGTTCGTGGCTGACGCTTGGCCTTCCGGGATTGGCAGACAAATCTCGTGGCCCTCTTGTGTCTTTGTGATGGTACTTCGCCGTCTACCAGCGGCCCCACTGCCCTGTTGTGATATCCTCCTGCCAACCCCAGTTCCGTCCCCATTGCTCTGCGACTGCGCCTGACCTGAAATCCACTCTGGGAGATGTTTCTTCTTGACGCATTGGTTTGCGCTTACGACGAAGCATCGGCCTTCGCAGCCTACGGTCCGCATCAGCGACGCCCAGGCGTCGCGCGCATCTGCTGTCGGTGCAAACCACAGATTCACGTTTTGGCTATACAAGCTTTGTCTCAGCAGCGGCATGTAGTTCTCCCAACATATCGCTGATCCCATGCACAGCTTGACACCTTTGATCTCTGTTGTCACTGCCCTCAGCGTACTCGCACTTCCAAAGCCCCAGATCAGCCGCTCGCTACCGGTGGGCATAACCTTCCTTCTCTTCCCCAATATCCCCATCTTCGGGTCTACAAACACGACCCCACAGTAAAGTGTGCCACCCGACTTTTCCACTATTCCAGTGACAACAAAGACACCGGTCTCTTTCGCTATCCTTTCTAACTCCTCTCTTGTCCCGTCACCCCTGTATTCCTTCCCTTTTGGCAGTTCGAGCTTCCGGTCTAGCCAATCTTGCCCAGCGCCGCTCGGTGTGTCGCCCATGTCGACAGCATCGTGGAAATAGTGAAGGAACTGCTCGCGACCTTCGGGTGCGCGAGCACCAACCGCAGCGCCAAAAGAGCAAGTACGAGGATATCCGCCCAAGTATGCTTCGGGAAACAGGAGGACATCGATGCCTTGAGAGGCGGCGCGCTTTGTGGTGGCTTCGAGGGCGACAAGGGTCTCGGCGGTTGTGGAGAGGGTGCGTGCTTGCGCGGACGCGATCTTGAGCGTTTGTGGCATTGTGAGAATGGAAATGACGCGTAGATCAGTGCGCGATGGAAGATCAAGTAAACTCAAAGGAAAAAAGAAGGAAAAAAAGACACGATGTGTGAGAGTGTTTGAAGCTTGTCGTGATGACTACACACCAGGGAGCTAAGCTCCCAAAGCTACCCCGCTCTGACCCCCACCTTGAATAACCTTGGATAGCCAAACGGCATCTTCAACATCTGTGGAGTCATTCATACCAGGTATCACGTGTAATGTGGCTGATGTATCCAGTGTCGTAGATTAAGGGAAGACGCGGGTAGGGCCGAGAAGACAATCAGTGTTTATGTGGATGCTTGTGGAGCTCTGCAGGGACGGAGCTTCCGCAACTCCACACCACGACGTCACAGTCAGAGAAGCACTAGCAGACGAGGATTTCTTTTCTCCTGATGGAACTTCACTTGCGACAACTAAACATCTTTCCCATCATCTGAAAAATCCACATCTCCCAGAGCACGATAGCCGAACACCCATCCAACATGCCGCAATCAACAGATCTTCGAACGCATCTCAACTCCCTTGTCCCATCATCTTATCCCCAACTTCGCGACTCCGTCTTACCTCAGCTCCTCGCTTCAATCCACACCATAGCAGGCCACCTTCGTACTTCCCCCTCGGTAACTCAAGTCGGTACCGCCAATGCCTTCGGCGACGACCAACTCAATGTGGACGTCCTAGCTGAAGAAGCAATCCGCAAAACTATCTCCTCCTGTCCTTCCATAGTCACAGCATCTAGCGAGGAAGATCCCGTCGAAAAATCTTCAGAGTCCACTAGCAGAAGCGAAAATCAAGGAACAGAAGTCTATACACTAGGTTTCGACCCCTTGGACGGCTCCTCAATCATCGCGCCAAACTGGAGTGTAGGCACCATCATTGGAGTCTGGGAAGGTGCCTCAGCTCTTCACCAGTCCCCTAATGATAAACAAATCGCTTCTATACTGGGTGTGCTGGGCCCACGTACAACCGCTGTTGTCGCCATCCGTCTACCAGGTACTGAGGGATCGTGTTTTGAAGTCGGATACGCAGACGACGGAACCATGCAAGTCATTCGTCCAGAAGTCAAATTGACGCAAGCCTCTGAAGTGAAAACCCGGTATTTCGCTCCTGCAAATATGCGCGCAGCGGCCGAAGACCAACGGTACCTCAATCTCATCAACCGTTATATTACCCAAAAATACACTTTGCGGTATAGTGGTGGGCTTGTTCCGGATGTTGTGCATGCGTTGGTTAAAGGCCATGGTGTTTATGTGTCTCCGGTGACAGCACAGAGTAAAGCTAAGCTAAGGCGACTTTACGAGTTGGCACCCATTGCGCTAATCATGGAGTGTGCGGGCGGTGCGGCTTTGGATTCTGCAACGGGGAAGAGGGTGTTGGAGACGCCAGTTGAGGACACGGATGAGAGGGGTGGCTTGATTTGTGGGAACAAGGACGAGGTTGAGGCTGTAAGGAAGGCGTTGTTGGAGTAGAATACCAGGATTACTGATGTGGAATGATCGTATGAGAAGATAGCCAAGTGTGTAGTGATTGTAAATAGTGTCCTTGGACCAAAATTCTGGAACATAATTCGATATCTATATACCAAAGTGCTTCTAGTCTTTCAATGATGCCGCCAGCGCCGTATAAAAAAGAATGGGTATATATCCTGTGCGATCCATGTTAAAGAAAAGAGGAGATGTGGAAATCTAAACCGCGTAAATGCAGAAATCCAGAACGAGGCCGAACAAACATACAAGCCTCTGGCTATGAGCCCCTGTATTATTCATCGTAGCGGGTGTGTGATTGCTGGGCGTCTAGGTCATGTTCAGAATGCGCTGCCAGCCTCGACGTCACCCTCACGAGTCCGGCTGCGACTCCCTGACGTGCCTCTGCTACCAGGACGGAGCGCCGCGCAGACCGTCCTGCAGCCATCGACCCAATCTGCCCTTCCTCGCCACCCTGGCTGCGTCGGCATTGGTAAAGCGGTGAGGGCCTTCGTACTGGCGAAGCTGACTTGACTACAATCATCCCTTTCTTCTACCTTGACATCCAACTTATGATTGATATGGATGCCATCCAGTGGGACATCGTCGCGAATCGAACCAGCAGTGCATTGCGATCGCTGCGCTGAGTGCTGGGATATCTTCGCGTCAAATCCAACGGACCTTGGTTTTGACAACGGGCCAAAGGACTTGCTTGGTGTACCGGTCTGAGAGTATCCAGCCCTTGTGGTATCTGTGCCAAAGTAGCGGATGAAGAAGACCTTGAGTGAGGGAACTGAGGCGCAGATGACAGCTAGTTGGGCTTCGAGTGTTGTCCAAACCCAACCAGAGTATGCTGCCCAGGTGATGTCGTAGGTGACTGGTTGATCAATTAGTCTTTTTTGTTTTATCTTAGGATGGAGTGATGATCTTACAGAAGTAAAGCTTTGTGGCGTAGAACGTGCGCAGAATACCACAAATACATGTTATCATTCCCAAGCCAAAGATGGCGCACAACCCCATTTTCTGACGCTTGCCAATCTTCAGGTTCCAAATCAAAAGTATTGGTAGCATGCAAATGATGAAATCTTGTACGGACGAGATAACTGCGCATGCGACAATTAGGGCACCCTCGTTGCGGCATGTCAATTCGTTCTGCAGTCTCCAGGCGATGTCGAAGAGGCGGAAGAATCCCACTACTGGTGTACATGTGAAGACGATGGCGAAGGTAAAGACGATTCCGTAGACGATGCAGAAAACGATGGTACCATAGACCCCTGTGGTGACATGTCAGTACTTAAGTATACCATGTCGGTTGCTTGTGTTCGCTTACAGTAGATGAACTGGTTTGTGAGACGATCGCCAATACGGCGGTAAAAGCAGAGGATTGACACCTTGACCAACGTTGTCGATAACATGTAGTTGAGTTCGATTGCCATGGCGATCTGATACGTCAGCATACCTTCAAATACAGCAGAACATACAAGCCTACTTCTCGTGTCGTGACTAAGGTCTCCCTAGTCTGGTCCCAGACGTGCCATTGAAAGCCATAGATGCGAATGCCTTTGCCAGTCAGTAATGTTAATGTGGAGGTGAAGTAATGCTTACCGAGTACAGTGGAAATGGTTAAACCAAATAGCGGTAGGATTGCTATGCTCACCAGTATATCGTCCAGTCCAGTGTTCTTTGATATAGCCAGTCTTGCCCACATCCGCGCGCAGTATACGAGGAAGGATATACCCAAGAACACCATGAGCACGATTGGTATCCCCCAACCCCTTTCCTCTGGGTTGACATAATTTGGTTTGGGCCAACTGAGGAGAACTTCTGGTGGAGGGTGTAGACCACCAGCTCGAGCAACAAGCCGGCTGGCATGTGATCCCAAAATGTTCACGTCCATATTAGGGTATACCGCCGTGATGGCAGGTACGGCTGTCAGGTACGGCTGTCAGAATAAGTGAGGTAAGGAACGGCTACCGCAAACAGAGAGAGCCA